CTAGATCTTTTGATAGCCGGGCACCATCAGCTTTCTTCACCACATTTGCTTATGCACCCATTTGTCTTCAGCGATCGTATCATGGAGGTGAGCACACAATATGATTTTTTGTTCTTTGATGCCTGATAACTGATCCCTTTGGCACCGGGTGATCAGGAGCACTCTGGTTGCATTTCCAGACATTTATTTCTAGACACGTGCTCCGAGACATTTGTCTTACTGGCAGTTTTTGCCAATATGATAATTCAAATACATCAATTCTTCTGCAATCTTCCTTATTTGCTGTCTAAAGTTCACATGGATAAGAAGTGATTGGAAATAGCGTGGTTTGGGTCAGGCAAACCTGAATCTTCAATATGACATCTTTGCTCTTCAACACTCTGAAGAGGTCTTGTGCAGACTTGCCTAATGCCACACAGCATTTGATTTATTGACTGGTGCGTCCATGAACATTGTCTGTGGAGCCTAGCAAGGCAAAATCTCAGACAACTCTAGTCTTTTCTTCGTGTATCATGATGTCACCTATCGATCGAGTTATGAGGATTTTAGTCTTATTTGCATTGACTAGTAATCCATACAGAAGGCTGCAGTCCTTGATCCTCATCAGCAAGTGCTTCAAGTCCTCCTCACTTTCAGCAAGCCAGGCTGGGTCCTCTGAAGCGCTTGGGTCATCAGTACCCTTCCTCTACTCCTGATGCTGCGTTCTTCTTCAGATCGTCCTGTTTGTGATTATTCCTCAGCATAAAGACTAAGTATAGTAAAAGAATAAAACTCTAAGATACAGCTTCTTGACTTAATTTTTTGTTTTTTTAATACCATTTTATTGGGGGCTCATACAACTCTTATCACAATCCAAACATACATCCATTGTGTCAAGTGCATTTGTACATTTGCCATTATCATTCTCAAAACATTTGCTTTCTACTTGAGCCCTTGGTATCAGCTCATTTTCCCCTCCCTCCCTGCTACCCCCTCCCTCATGAACCCTTGATAATTTATAAATTATTATTTTGTCATATCTTACACTGTCTGACATCTCCCTTCACCCACTTTTCTGTTGTC